GAGATCGCTCGGCGTTGTGTCTCCGGAGGTAAACACAGTGAATATACTTTTTATGTTTGGACAAAAACATCTTCTAAACACCAGACTGCCTTAAAAAATGACACCTGTACTTTTTTGCTGGCTTATCAAACACATGAACAAACTTATTTGTTGCAGGGATCCTTGAAGAGTACCAGCTGCCTTACCATGAGTTAGTTCCTACAGACCCTTCTTATGAAGACATGAGAGAAGTGGTCTGCATCAAGAGACTACGACCATCCTTTCCTAATCGATGGAGCAGTGATGAGGTAAAATATACCAGAAGAATGCTGTATATGCATGCACAAACACACACAAGTGAATAACCTTGCTGACATAAATCTGTATCTCCTCCAGTGTTTGAGACAGATGAAGAAGCTGATGGGAGAATGCTGGGCCCACAGCCCAGCCTGCCGCCTCACAGCCCTACGGGTCAAAAAGACACTTGCCAAGATGTCAGAATCACAGGATATCAAGCTGTGAGCGGGCGATGCCAGGTGTGTGTTTACACACACAGAAAGGGCATTAACTATCACACTGGCTCTGCTCCGGGCTGCACCATCCTTTTTCCTGGGAAAAGGAGGCGGGACAGGAAGCAAGATCATCAGTTGGAGATCGAAGGATCACAAATGATCCAGATGCCCAGAACTCTGCAATCCAAGTCCCCCCTGAAAAATGTATTACACGACTACCGTGGTTAGCTAAAACTTAATACAATTAGGCCCTGTGTGGCCTTGTTCTGTCCGTCAGAGAAGATGAGACATTTTCATTTCAGACTAGTGTAAGGACTCTAAAATCCTGTTCCTGTTCACATGCTCCAAAGGTCCTTGGAGAGTGTTTGACTTGGCACTGTAGCTGCAGAGATACACAAAACAAGCTACTGACCAGTGAGTGGATACAATATCACTGCTTTCTGTGAAAGCTACCCTACCTGTAGATGAAGGTCCGATTGATAGAACGGAAAGGATGTGCTTTAAGGCAGTCTGTTATTGCAGGATGACACCTCCCTTCTAAACACTGTCACCCCCACTACTGCCTTTATGTTGTAATTGGATTGAACACATTTTTTGTCACTCTTAAATTGACTTCTTTTGGTTACAATGACTGACACTATGTGACAGAAAAAAGCGTATTTTGAGGCTTTGATGTTTTGTTAAAGCTGGTAACGTTTGTAGACACTGAAGAAAAGATATACCTGTATTTCTGAGTTGTGATGGGATATGAAAGTTGCAAAAGCATATTTCCATGTAAAACTCAAACTCTTTAAGACTATATGTGAAAAATAAAGTTCATATGTCCAAATAAATTCTGGATTGAGGCTCTACATGCCTCTGTGTTTCCTTGCCCTTCAGTAAATAAAACCTGCGTGAGGATTGCAATGCAGTAATGGGAGCGATTGAAGCAGAACGGTGCCACCCGTAGGTGCTCCACAGCAATCACAGGAAAGGAAGCCTGCAGAGGCAATCAAGAATTGTTACCTGTAGTTGCGACTTCTTACTTGATGATGTAACTGATGTATTATAAATGTGTGGAATTGTGCCTGTGTTAGTTTAGTGTTACCATGTCATGGTGGACTGCTATCAATCACGCCCAGTACTGCAGAGGGACTATGCGATGTACTGTATATGTGTTTTTTAGGGAGCTGCACCTGAAGCTTTTACTTAAGATATAACAGTCAAACACACAGTTGAAAAAAATGTCCTACAAAAACACCCCCAGCCATCCCTAAACTATCACACCACCAGAATTACCCTGTGGACATCACAAGGTCAATTTTCCCTGACCACCAGGCTGCCTCATACATGTAAATTATAGTACACGTTGAACTGTCTCACCATAATAAACCATTTGCAGCTGTCACACTGAAATCAAATGGCAGCTAAGTCATTAAAAAACCCATCATCTGGCTTCTGTTAGGCAAGTTTCTCCACTAATTCAAATTCTCATATAGTAGCAGGCGAGTATTAGGAAGCTTAAACAGCCTCACTGCCTCAGTGTGAAGTTCTCAAAGTAAATCTGGACACCTTTCATCATCACCGTTGGCAAACTGTTAGGTCCTCCACAGTGGTTTGCCATCAATGCATTCATTTTTAGCTCTTTTCTGTCCTAACCCTTGATAAACTTTCCTTCAGGTCAACAACTTTCTTCTTTTTTTTTTTGGGTCTCTGCCGGCTAAAATAATGGGATGCTCTGTCACTGTTGAAGGTGTGGCAGATTTGTTGTGTTTTAAATGCCCTTATCTTTCTTCTTGGGTGTTGTGCCTTATTTAACCTGTACCTACTGTAGTTGTCTGTGAGAGAAAGTGGTGTTTTTATTCAGTAAAAAGGTTGAACATTCCCCCAATAAAGTGTTTCACTTATCCACATGGCTGATGCACAGTTTGTGGTGGCTGAATGAGGTGCATACTAACAAGTCACTTGGCACTGCCTCTTACTGTTAAGGCATGCTCTCCATATTTTCTTTGTTAAAAAAAAAGCAGCATGCCTCATTACAACCCACCGGTGCTGCTGAGCACACAGCATGTTAAACAGTGACGCCACAAGGATTTTCTGTTTCAATTTCCTCCCCTTCAGGGTACTTTATTCAACTAATTATTGAGTCTGGAATCTGTAAATATGAATTTCATAGAAAAAAGGTAGAAAATTAAAGTACTGCAAACCAAATGTATATGTTCATGGTCTACAAATTGCGTTCCTGACAGTAAACTGTACTAGTACAATGTAAACGTAAAACCATTTCCTGAAACATTCAAAATAAATAAGCCACCATATGCACCACACATTTTCAGCGTTGCTTATAAATATAATTTATTAATTGTCTTAAAAATTCTTTCTTACACTTTGTACAGAAAACAATTAGAGGAGATAGAGAGGCGAGCATTCAGCAAGATTAAGCAAGATTCATGAAGCGTGCCAGAATTAGCTAAAATGGACCAACACTACCCCGCACTAATCAAATCAAATCACTCCTGATAGTAAAATAAAAATGCACTTACAAGCACAGCTCTATTTATAGACTTCTATCATGATAACCAATGCCAAGTTTGCATAGTAGACACCGCTTTTACAAAAAAGGAAAGAAACTTAAATAAAAAACTTGAAACATACAAACTAGTATCTAACTGTACTGCTCTTTTTTATATGCTCAAATTTGCCAAATATAGCTGACAGTACACAACTGTACATACTGTGGATAGAAAATATTTTTACATACTTTGATATCTTATCACTACTTTCTTCATTTTCACATCACAAATGATCTCCTTCTGGAGGCCTACATTTGCTCTCCTCATATGAAAACTCCCTTTTTTGTCTTCTCCATTAACAAACAGTCTGTCCTGCTGGTAACATGTAGACTTACAACATGGCATTGATCAAATTTTGGGGCAAAGTTACACAGTAACTGGTAACTTACATTTCTTAACCAATTATTTCCTTGTGCCTGGTCCACCACTTACACGTTGATCTTGTATTCTGCATTTGAGTTAATAAGAGATGTTGATGATCACATTGTATGAAAGAGACACCGTCATCACCTTTGGGTTCATATTTTGTTCTGAAACAAATTATGACTTTTATCCTTGAAATTTACACAACACTTCCCTTTGAATTTCCTCCCATCTGACATCAGCAGTAACATTTGAAAACTTACAAAACATCCACTCATTTAACCATACACCTTTTTTAATTTGCTTAATAAGGCTGTCCGAAATTAAAACATACATAGTTTCGAGGCCTCCACGTCCACTGCGCCTGATTTTACATCAATGCAAAAGGTTGGATTTCTAACTCACATATTTCTAACCGACTGAACAAAGAAAGAAAAATCAATGTGAAAAATCAATGTCTCAAGGTTTTCTCCTGTGTGGACAACCACAAGATGAAATCTGTCATGAAGAGGTAAAAATCTGACCTTTTGCACTGGTGTTAACTCAGCCTTTGTTTGTCAGCCTGCTTGGTTTTCTCTACAATATCCTCCTCAGTATCTCCTCTACATATATTCGGTTTCATATGGCGTCTCTCCATAGTTCAGAGCAGAAATATCCTAACTCCAGTTTTTGAATATTTTACATGTATTTCCTTTGAAGTGAATGTTCTTGTTGTCCTTTACATGGTGAATAGAGGTCTCGTCCCCAAGGGCATCTGACAATTATTCAAAAGCCACTAAAAATAAGGCTGTTTGTCGTTCCTCAAAACTGGCTTGTTGGAGTTGTACCTTTTTCACCAGACACTGTTGACCTGAGTCAATGCATACATTTGAAAGCCAGCCTTGGTTCACAATATTCTTCTGCAAAACACAAATATATTACACTTCATTTTACATAAGCCCCTTTAGTTGGTATCTTGATTTTTAGCTCTAAATCGCAACTTTTTCAACAAATACACCATGAGTTGGAATGTTAGTTGCCGACAGAACATGGTTTTAGATAAAGGGCAACTAACTGATATGTTACAGATTTCATCCCACCCCCTAAAAACATTAAAATGGCAAAACAAAGTTAATGTAAAATAAAACAAGAATGACCACTGAAGAAAATTATTATGCTAATAAAAGGTCATTAGAATGAACATGATAATCATGTATTTACACGTTTCAGACGATCAAAAAATAACGTAAATGCTGTTATTCTTCAAAAGCCACTGGATGGTGCTAGTGACCAGCAAAGTCATGGTTGAGATCACAAATTAAATCACATGTGGCCTGATGGCAGATAACACAACTGACATCTTGTGATGATGGGACATAAGAAAGAAATATATATATATATATATATATATATATATATATATAGCTTATATATATATATATAT